ATTTTGATAATATTTTGATCATGTTCCATTCCTTTTTTAGTTTTAATTTCATCAAATTATCTCCTAACAAACTTTAAAATATTATCTTGTGGTCCGAATCAACTATTGAATATTTACAATTTGGTCTTCAAACTTTAAACTTTGGACTTTGCCTTTTCTTTTATTTCTTCCAATTTTTCGTTCAACCATTGAGTTACCTATATAATATAAAATATAACAATTTAGGATATATTTGTCAAATGAGTTACCAAATATCGATATTTTAGGCCCCCAAATTAGTTATAAAATACACTTATCAATGCCCATACCTTTCATGTCACAATGTTTTGTCAATATTTTCTTAGTTGTCATTAGATAACATGATTATTACCCGTGATTAGCATATCATCAACATATAAACATATATTACATACATACTTTGTATGTTTTTATTTAAATGCACTTATCATACTCATTAATCTTAAAATCATTTGACAATATAATTTTGTCAAATTTCTCATGTCCCTATTCTTGCACTTGCTTTAATCTATATAATGACTTAACTACTTTAATCTCATTTTTCTCTTGTTCACGAATAATTAATTCGCCGGGTTGTTCCAGTGTAAATTTCTCCTTCTATCTCACCATTTAAAAAAGTTGTTTTACCGTCAATATAATGGATTTCCAAATTATGCAATGCTGTGATTATAAATAATACTTTAATAGACGTTATTTTTATCACATGTGAATTTGTTTTGAAGAAGTTTCAAGATCTTCTTTTTGTTGAAATCCTTTTGGCCACCAATCTAGCCTTGTACTTATCAATTGATTCAACAATCTTTAATTTTCTTTTGAAAATTCATTTACAACCTAATTTTTGATAGATGGAGAACTACCAACTATCAAGTATAATTCCATATCATAGAATCAATTTCGTTATTGCTAGCCTCTTTCTAGAATGAAGATTTTGGACTTGACAACTCTCAATCAAATGTTCTTGGTTCATTTTCTAACAGATAAGTTTAAAAACTTGACTAAAAGATATAGCTCTTTTGTCTTCTTACTACATCATTGTCCTTTCATACTCTGATAATCACCAATTGCAGTATTACAATTAATTTTTATGAACTCGTTTATTTCCTATCTTTACAAGGATTTTTTTTAAAAAAAAATACAACACTCCATATTCAATGGTGGTATTCTCATGTATATTAGGAATTCTGACTTATTACGAGGAACTGATATGTACTATTATTATTAGCATATTCAATGAATACGCAGTCAGTAGTTTAGGCTCTATTTTAACATGTTTAGGCTTTGGTACTTATACCTTAGTCAAACACTCCCAAATTTTAAGTATTTATGAAGGCTTGTGAACTTTCCATAACTCATAAGGAGATTCGTTCCTACTTTATGTGGTATTTTATTAAAAATGTGATTGACAAAGGGAATTGCTTTCCCCCACAAGTTTTGAGATAAATTAGAACTAATCAATGTACAACAATATTATTTGACTAGGGTGAATAAGGAGTTGCAGGTTGATGAATAATTCTAGAGTCTGAACAAAATTCTTCAAACGGTGCTACATATTCTCTTCCTCTATCACTATGAATAACCTTTATTCATTTTCTAAAAGGATTATCAACCTCATTCTTGTACTGTTTATATATTCTAAGGTTTCATGTCTCTATTTCTTAACAAATATACATAATAGTATCGTGTGCAATTATCTATAAAAATAATAAATTACTATTGACAATTTCTAGTTTGCAAAAATATTAAATCACAAATATAACTATAAAGGAATTCTAGAGGATTTGAGTTACTTTAATCGAATGAAATGATGTTTTGGCTAACTTAGTCTCTACACAAATTTCGCACCAATGATTTTGATCAACTGAAACAAAAGACAATAAATCTAAATTTACTAATTTTCATAGCATTAACATATTGTGATCTATTATGCCATAAATTATATGACTAAATCTCCTAAGCAAAAGATATATTTATTGACACCAAAATCATGAAGTAGAGGCATTACATTCATTTCGAATAGTCCATTGACTAAGTACACTTTGCCCACATACATGTTCTTTTTGATGAGTACAAACTTATCATACTCGAATACTAACTTAAATCTATTTTTGATTAGCAAAGCTCCAGAGACCAAAGTCTTGCTAATGTTCGGAACATGCAACATATTAATGGGGGTTACTTTCATGTTCGATGTCATCTTCAGCACTACTTTACACAAACCAACTACTTTGATGTTGTTGAGTTGTGCATGAAGAGCACTCATCATTGATTGGAGCATAATATGAAATTATCTCATTATCAGCACAAAATATGACGAGTAGTGCATCTGTGAACCATTCTCTGGGTTGTTCACCATGTTTGCTTCAAATACTACAACTGAAAGCATCATATTCGATACGACGATAGATAATTTATTCTGATCAATTAGACTTGGTGGTTTTTGTTATACCTTTTCCGTTGAGACACCATCTTACCCAATTATAGCGTTTTCCTTAAAATTTCTTGGCATTGTTCTTTTACTTGTCATTACTTGAATGGTTCAATTTCTTGTTAGTATTTGGTTTCATCAAATTGACTTTAGCCTCCATTTGCAGCTTCGTAGATTTCTCTTAAGAATTTCAATTGTCTTTCTCAAATCTCAATCTTAGAGCACTTTCAAGAGACTCTCTATATTTGAAGAGTATCTTATGGATAATAGAGTGTTATTTTGATTCTTTATTTTATTTTATCGAATGACCATTTATTGATTTATCCTCATTTCTTGTTTAGCATAATTTTTTTATATGCTAATGACAATCAATTCAAATGTAATTTGAATAATTTAAATTGTAGAGTATTCAACTGCTATAGTTGTAAGCTTCTCATAATTCATATAAGGAGCACATGTTCGAATCTTACCAACTGCAAATGCGATATAAAATTTTACTTGAACTAAATTGGTAATTAACCGATTTAGATTGCACCGGATCTGGTTTTCTCTGAACCTGTTCGGTTTGGACGATTATGGACCGGTTTGAGTGGTTCCTGATTGATTCATACGCTAATTGACCAATTAATACAATACAAATCAGACCATTGTTCGATTCGACGATTTTCGAGCCGGACCGACCAATTTTAATAACTATGGTTTAGAGAAACAAGTTTGATGAGACAAATGTCACCTTATAGAAGCCGAACACGTGTTATGCACATAAATTTTGAAATATTGATACTTTGGCCCAACCTACTAGTATGTATGTCATATCCCCTTCAAACTATTGGTACTCTTTGGTGTCCAAATTCAAGTGTTAATTTTGAGCTATATAAAGTGACTTCTTTGTTCTAATTTTCCTATGTGAGATTGAACATGTTTCAATTTCTTGTCAATTTCATCTTCAATTTATTTTAACTTTAAGTGGCATCTTTTGACCTTAATTTCTCATTCACTTGAAATTGATTTAAAAAAATAAATCAATATACTATATTAATCTACATGTGGAGTAAAAACACTTGACCAATGAAATTTTACGTCCGACTATTGAGACTCACTCAAATAATTAGTCAAAAGTTGATCAAACCGACTTTATAGTATCAATTCCAATAGTCATGACATTGGTAAATATATAATTCAGAAAGGTCACTTGGAGGACAATGAACATTTAATACTACGTGTCTTTCGATGGAAACTCTTTAGTTTGTTTCAGTTTTCCCATTAGAAGCAAGCAAATGAAAGACAGTGATCCACCTGACCTAAAGGCTGTAATTTTGATGAAACTGTAGGTGAAACTTCACATCAAATCAAAGCAAAGCTTCAAAAGGAATTCATATGGCCACTCAATGCCTACAATTAATTCACAGGTCCCATAAAGTTACAACATGCCCAATTTCTCATTGCAACCCCAACATTAAATACAGAACTTCCCATTTGTTACAAAAATTACTAGATTATTTTCCATATATATATATATATGTGTTGATAAGGTAAGCCATAGCCTTACATGATTTTCAACTATGAAGATGTATAAAATGTACCATTGCTGGTGTAGATGAAAGTAGCAGTTAAATATATTGATACCGTTGTGGTGCTTAATATGTTATATTATACTTGACGATCAAGTTATAGAAGTTACGGTTAGATTTAAAAAAAAAAAGAAAAAAAAAATCCATGAAAGTATTGTTAAAATTAAAAATGAATTTAAGAAATGGGGGCAAACAAGGGCTATATATGTTTACTATTTCTCAAGATTCTAAAATGTATAATGGGTGGCAAAACATTTCGGTGGAGCATACAGTATTACAGATATATGCGTGCTTTTGCGAATTATGCTTTTGCGAATTATGCGTGATTTGCACTGATTTGATGTTTGTTGGGATTAAATTGCTTTCCTTTTTTTTTTTTTTTTAAGTTATAAAAATTGGGTGGATTTTGCTAGACTAATTTGGACACAATTTTTAATACAAATTGTCTCGCATTTTAGCGTTTAAGCGCGCATATACGATTAACGAAATGGATTGACCGCACTATCACTCACACATCATATATGTGGGACGTTTTGAAAATGTCCCGATCGAGCATATATGTGCATATACTAAACATATGCGCGCATTTTAAAATCCTGCTATTTCTACCACCAGTTATAAGTGTCATGTTGATGAGGGCGGGCACAATGGAACGTGTGAGTAGCTCATTGGCTGATCCCAACTGTATGTATTAACTAACCCCGTGAGAATGATAAATTCCAACGGCAATTGAGCGGCCCTGCAGTTACAATACCTCTTGACTCTCTCTCTCAAAAATATACACACTCCCTCTCCACCTATACTTTTTATTTATACTTTTCACATGTTCTTCTCACAGTGTTTTAGTTTGTTGAATTCTTATTGTTAATTTGACAAGAGAACTCTAATTTGAATCTCTACAGGGTTTGATCCTATTATGAGTGAAATCTTGAACGTTAATTGTGAACATTTTGATTTTATTCACATTTTCTGTTTTCCAGCTCCAAATGGGAAAGAAAGGAAGTGGCTGGTTTTCAACTGTCAAGAAGGTGTTTAAGCAGCACCCTTCAAAGGATTCATTGGAGAAGAAGGTTAGTTCGATGAAATAAGAATCTGTTTTATTATATTTATTTGGGACAAGATTTCTTGACACGAAGCTGGAACTGCGTTCAAAGATGAATCTGTGTGTGCTTGATCTGCAAAATGTACAGCTGCGAGCGATATTGGCCTAGTTTCTTTCAGGGGTATATAATTTAAAAAACAATCGCCTTATGAGTAATCTTATTTTTGCATAGCAAAGTGGACGTAGCTCTCATATTGAGGGCCAATCAGTATGAATCTCAGTGATTTGCTTATTTTCTTGAAAGTGGGGTTTAATCCGTAACATTTTAGGGTCGTAAACATTTTGTAGATCTCAGATGTAACTACACATTATACAAATTGGCACTTGATTTGGTTTCCACCTTAAATCAAAGTTGGGTGGTATGGTCCCCCAATCAACATGGCCAAACAAAAAGTAGAGCTGATGACATATTGCTATCCTTCCAACCATGCGATCACATCAAACCAATTTGATCATCATGTGCTTAGTTTCGTTAGATCACAATCATTCGACTCATTTGATGTATATATATTTTTTAATGTAGATGAATTAGTTAAGAATTACATTATGAGTGCTAATTAGGGAAAATGATTGGAATTTTTAGAAGGAAAATGCCGAGAAATGGCAATTCGAAGCACCAGAAGTTGTCTCCATCGAACATTTCCCCGTAGAAAGTTCTCCGGATGTTACAAATGGTGAGAGTTTTGAGTTGTCTCCAGTGACTGAAGATCAGAATCATGCTATTGCTGTGGCTGAGGCGACTGCTGCTGCGGCTGAAGCTGCTGTTGCAGCTGCTCAAGCAGCTGCTAAAGTAGTTAGATTAGCCGGTTATGGACGAGACTCCAAGGAAGAAATGGCAGCAACCATTATACAATCATATTACAGAGGATACCTGGTAAATTCCCTTTTTCGGAAGGATACCTTCACAGTATATCTTTTTCTTAAACATGCCATCAAAACATAGGAATCCAAGAAGTTGAATCTTAATCTTGGGAGATTTTTTTTGGATTTACTTTTAGAAATTGGCTTGTGACTTAAGGATTCTAATCATTGTATCGCATGATTTACTGTACTATGATCACATGGCATTGCACAAATGAAGTAGAACACTTTTAAGTTCAAGCCATGTTTGATCATTATTAAAAGTTACTTTTCTAGAAAGGAAGTTAAGCACAGCCATAAATGTTCTCAGTATCCATTTCTCATTTGTAGGCAAGACGAGCATTACGAGCTTTGAAAGGATTGGTAAGGCTGCAAGCTCTAGTGAGGGGCCATAATGTGCGCAAGCAAGCTCAAATGACAATGCGGTGCATGCAAGCACTTGTCCGCGTGCAGTCAAGGGTACGTGAACAAAGACTACAACTAGTACATGACAAGCTTCAAGACAAGTTACATGAACAAATAGAAGAGAAAATCAGACTAGATCAAGAAGAGAAGAAGAAATGGAGTTCAATAAAGAAGTTTGAATCCAGAGCCCAGGATAGAAGGAATTCAGGCAATGACAAAAGTACAAGGAAAAATTCTCTGTGGAAACATGATTCTGAAATGAAAAAGGAGAGGGCCCTTGCCTATGCTTTTGCCTACAAGGTTGGATATTTTTTTTTTTAAGTAGTTTTATGTTCTTTTTTAGGCCAACCATTTCTATTTGACAATGCAATTATTGATGTGACTTAAGTTACATTGCACTAATGTTGGATACATGCTGGCGATAGCAGCAACAGGAACAAGTTTTAGGTTCAGATCAAAACTTTGATGATGATGGAATTTATGGCCGTGAGAGTGACGAATCTCAACGGGGTTGGAACTGGCTCGAGCGGTGGATGGCTGCACAGCCCTACCATTCTCGGCACATGGTGGCGCGGGAAAGTTCCTATGTGACACCTACCATGACAGACAGCATGTCTGATATAACTGTTGACAAGGACTCGGTCTCGGTCACACCACTGTGGTCTGAAAATGTGAACATGGGCCGACAAAGGGGAGGCCCAATTGAGAGAGGCCCATGTACAACAAGACAGCCACGAGATGATGTCCCTAGCTATATGGCCCCAACAAAGTCTGCAAAAGCAAAAGTAAAGAGCCTTGGTCCTGTCAAACAGCATAGCCCACCAGGAGCCCAGTGGAATTCATCAATTAAAAAGAGGACTATTAATGGGCTTAGCTATGACTCGTCCAGCTCAGGTGGACCAATAACTTATCAGGCCTCATGGATCCAAAGCCCAAAAAATAATGGACGTAGGCCGGAAAATTTGATTGCAGACCGTAGCCCAGAACTCAGTAGTGAATGGAAGCATAATTTTGGCTGATTTGCGTGGGTATTGAATCATCAAATCTCAAAAGCTAGGTACTCGACTCACCGCATTTCGGGATTAAAGAAAGTCTCAAAGGTTTGATTGTTCGTATTGTAATTGAAATTGTATTTCTTAAATTAATCTCCTACCTTTTATTAGGTATTCGTAATTTCCATGTATCGAAAACAATGTTTCATAATGTAATAATTATTTTGTGGGTATGCTCAATTAAATAACGAACAAACAAAAATGAATTTTTATTCAAGATCAAGCTGGTGGGTTGGTCCATCGTTGTGCAGTGCAATTTCATTATCATGACAAATAAATCTTAATGTTTGTTTGAACCCACTTTTTGGGAGAATAAATTTTGTAATGCTGATTTTTGGAGAATTTGTGATTTAAAAGAAAGTAAAAGTTTTGAATTTATTTTTAAAATTATTTTAATGTCAAGTTTAAGTAAAAATGATTTTTTAAAGTATGAGTTTATTGTATATTGTATCTATGTTAATGTTGACATACAAAAAGAGATCCAATTAAAATGAACCAAGAAATGAAGCACAGTTAAGAAATTTGAGGAATAGGCCCAAATGAGACCATTGTGAAGTATAGTGGAGGCCCATAAACGAAAAAATATCATCGCTCAAGCCTACAGGACGCCCAAGATCTGAGCAAATGAAATACCTTATTGTCGCCCAATCCTTCGAAGACGCCCAAGATCTGGGAAAATATAGCGCCTTGTTGTTATTTAAAGCGGCGGTTATTAAAGTAGTTTTTGAGCAGTCTTATCACATTCCATGATTCAAGAATCTCGGTTGCAAACAGTTAAGGAGAGTAGTGACAGCATTTTAAAAAAGGAAGCTCCTTGATACATCAGCCATTATGAACCAAGTTGGTAGTTATAGAGTAACAAGCAGTTTCCAAACGATTTCACATGGAAAACTGCACGAAGGAGTATAAAAGAAAAAAAAGACGTAGAAGGAAAGACCCCGAATCCATCACTCTCAAATAGAGAATATGTAATTTCATTTCTTTTAATTCTTATCCTCAAACTTTCAAATTACTTTGTGTACTTGTGTCCCATGGAGGCGTTTTGTTTATTTTTTATTGTAATCTTCATAAATAAAGCATCTATCCTTGTGACTTTGTCTCAAAAGGTTTGTTCCTTACACAATCGTCTGAATCATCTTTCAATTGTTAGCGAGTCTCGATAAATCTGCGCGAAACAGATAGGTTAAGATATCGGTAAGCATAAACAGAAATTAAAAATAATCCTATTATTTTGTATAGTTAAACTCAAGAAATAATGAAATATAAATAGATTCCCACAAATTTAACCCAAAGAATTAATTTCCTTTTTTTTTTTTTAATAATTTATTGTCAATCATTGAATCATATACAAATAGATAACAGGGGATATTTTAATTCCCCACAAATAATTTATTGTTAATTTATAGGGCTGGGGGGCTACTGTCTATAGCATATCCTTACGGTTGTGGAAAAGTTGGTTGTTGAGGTGTTTCTTTCTTCTTTCTCTCCACGTCCTCCTTTTCCGGTGGCTTTCTGGAACCCTAAAAAAATCGTTAATCTCAGTGCCCTTTTCACATTTTCTCATTCGAAAAGAAGCATTTAGGATTTCTGAGCGTATATATTTTGTCTTTAGTTGCAGCATAATCTGTTGAAACAATTATCGTACACGGGTGGGTTTTTTATGAACAACACGGGTCGGGTCGGAATTGAATGATGTTTCTGGCACCGGATCTGGTTCATTATGCGTGCATTGCCAGGGGCATCACTGTGTTGGCCGAGTTCAATTCGAAGGGTGAGAAACTTAGATCGATCGCCGAAAAATGTTTGGAGAAAACGCCGCCGTTTCATTCCTCATTTTCCCACACAGTCCGGTCCCAAACATATACTTTCTTGATCGATGACCAGTTTGTTTATTTTGCGATTTTTGATGAAAAACTGGATAAATTTGAGGGATTGGGCTTTCTCAGGAGCGTAAAAAAAGCGTTTGATAAGTTTTTCCAGGTTGATCTGGGGAAGAAGAGGTTGGAACGGGTGAGTTCTCATTGTTTTCAGGGGGAATTCAATCCGGTTTTCCATCGGTTACTGGGTCAGGGACCGGGACCTGAA